GCATTTCATTTACGCGGAAACGCTCCGGAGCGAAATAAAATGGCGGCTAATGAAGAGTCCACTATGACCGTAAGTATTGTTTCTCTCGTTTCTCTTACATATCATATGTTATGGTGAAATATTGTGTACCATTTGATGAACAATACCGTGAGCAAAGATCTCATTTATTCAACTTCTGGTGGTAAACTGTTATTTGCTTGATCAAAGCTCCGTAGTGTGGATCGAACGAATCTGAAGATGACGATTTGACCACAAATTACGAATTAAACTAGTATTTGTATGAAAACGTAAATCTTTCTGTTAAAGTAGTAGATCACAAACTCGTATATTCTCATTTCCTAAAATCCCAGTCCAAATCCATTACTTGTTCTCGAGAAATCGCTTGTTTTCCTCGAAACGCTCCGTCGATTTAGAACACAATTTTAGAAACGCTCTAACCATTTTGTTTTGATATCATTTTCAGATTATTAGAGAAGAGTTCCGCATCGAATCTATCTCTCAAAAATGTGTTGTACTTGTTAGGCAAATTGAAACATCTGAACCTGGTGGTGCTAAACGTGCAACTAGCTGATTTAAGCCTACATTAGATGATGTCATGCCTTCATATGTGCTAAATCATAAAACTATAGAAAAAACGAAAATTTATATCTGAATTAATCTTTCTTCTATTGATGCCAAGGGGTGTAATAGATCTTTTCTTTCTCTTCCTGAAAAGGAAAGGCAAGCTATATATTTCCTAAACTGATCTAGACTAGTACCACAGCGTTTCCAGTTCACTGTGTTTACCAGATCGGAGCGTTTCTTGAATATGAGAATGTCATCATTTTTAAGACTGGATTTTCGGTCATCAAATCACTATTACAATAACGTATGGTGCGTTGAAGCATTGGAATTTGACTAAAATATATGTTTGTTCTCTAATCTTGGCTCAACTAATCACATGTATCGACATAAGGGAATTTGACCGGTAGAATGACAAATACGTTTTTGAATTTTGATAACTATACTGCTTCGTACAGCTCTTCCTAATTGCTTCAAACATCAACAGTCGGCCAAGTACTACATGAATATCACACCCATCGAATGGTATACTCGAAATATGTAACTCGTACCTCTTATTCCCATTATTGGGGAAATCGTCAGACGGCTCATCATTCCCGCCAGCCAGTTTTCTACCCTTTGCATTCGTTTGACTTCACTTCTTGAAAGAGAGCTTCGTCTTCACTCTTTCAAACTAAAATAAACCTGTGAACTCACCGCGCAAATCAGTATTCGTCGGCCAAATTTGACCGACATTCTATATAAGGTCATTCCTTCTGATGTCATCGTTGAGCCCGGAATTGACCAATGACATGCGCATATTTAATTAGAACGCATTTGGCGTATGTTTCTTCAAGCTCGCTGGTTGTTGGAAGAAAGGTCAGCGCGTAAGTCAAAAGTGATTTATTACCCAAACTGTCACCGGTACCCGTCGTGGGGGCGGGGCTACTAAGCTGTAATATGGTCTCTACTAGGCAGAGTGTAGTTTTACTAGACTCTGCACGCAGGGTACCAGTTTTCCTACTCCGGAGCATTTCTTTGTTTAATTTCAGTAATGAAATGCTCCGTCGTGCATATAGGAGCATTTGGGTTATACACCGTGATATTGGCATGTGTTTTTGAGCTCTGAATGTTTACTTTCATAATTAAAACTTTGGAACTTAAAAGATTTAAGGTCTTGTCTGTTTAATTTGAACTCGAACTATTTATATTGTTAAAACCATTTAAGAAAATTAGAAAATCAGACACAACACTCGAGATCATGTGAGTAATAAATCATGTGAGTAATAAATTACCGGGTGCTAAGTATGGGCTGGTACCTGCAATTCTTCTTTTATGGCTATCACTAGAATATAGTTATAATATAATACGACATGTCCAGATTGTATTAATGTATATGTATTTTTTGCCAAAAAGTGACTCTCCTGCCCGATTACTGTAGGAAGACTAACTTTATGAGCATTAACTACTGTATATTGCTATGTGTTTTTGAGCTCTGAATGTTTACTTTCATAATTAAAACTTTGGAACTTAAAAGATTTAAGGTCTTGTCTGTTTAATTTGAACTCAAACTATTTATATGTTTAAAGCATTTAAGAAAATTTGAAAATCAGACACAACACTTGAAATCATGTGAGTAATAAATTACTTGGTGCTAAGTATGGGCTGGTACCTGTCATGATGATATATTGTATTCTTATGGGCTTTGTAAAAAAAAACTCGTACCCAACAGGCCCATAGCCAGGATTTGCCAAGGGGGGGTTCATTTTTCAAAAATTTCCAGGGGGGTTCACATTTGACAATTTTGGCCCAAATATAGCTAACATCACTTGAGAAGTGCTCAAAATGGTGAAAAACTGCATGATTTTGAAAGAATTTTTGGCCAGGGGGGTTCGCCCGAACCCTGCCAACTCCCCCCCTGGCTACGGGCCTGCCAAAGTACCCACGTATGTGGGACGTGATACAGTCTTTGAAGGGTTTAATTTTTAAGACATTTAGATTAATCAAACTCAGTCTTTGCTGAACTGCACAAAATTGCGCAATTGAAATGTTCGTTCACCATACAGAATAATGTAGAAGCATTACAGAATAATATAGAAGCAATCTACACTAAAATCATTTTTTTATTTGCTGGGGAATTCAAGAAAGTCATCTAAAGGTGAGCATAACAATCTTGTCTACATGGGTGTAATATTCTCCCCATCATTCCATTCGGAACCAAGTTTTCCTCGAAAGAGGATTTTCAAAATGGCCACTCATCTAAAAATAACATTTGACAGTAATTTAGGTACAATATGTAAAACTGTAATAGCAATATGTTTTAGATGTAAAAAAATTATATAGGGTTCATTTAAACGTATTTTACTATAACTCGAAAAGTAGCGGAGTGATTTTGTTCATATTTGGTATGTGAATACTATAAGCATGTGACACTGTCTAATGACACTTTTGGTAGAAGATGGCCATTTTTTCTATATATTTTGTGTGTAAAAATGCCAGCCATGGCTGTTATGTTTGGCAATTTTAAAAATTCACCAAGTCATGATTTCCAAACTTTTGTAACTGAGAGGAAAAATAAAGATTCAGACATTAACACGCTTTAACACCCTATCAAATAAAGTTGTCAAACTTATGGAGGGGAGTGTATGTCATGTTGTTTTACTTACAATACAATATAAGCCCTGACATAGTAAACACAAATACAACTGTGATGCCCTCTTTTGTGAGCCATTGTCAGGCCCGTAGCCAGGGGGGGGGGGTTCGGGGGGTTCGGGCGAACCAAAAATTTCTTTCAAAATCATGCAGTTTTTCACCATTCTGACTATTTTTTGAGTGATTTTTGGCCAAATTTGCCAAAGTGAACCCCCCCTAGAATTTTTTGGAAAAGTGAACCCCCCCTTGGAAAATTCTGGCTACGGGCCTGCATTGTATTTATTAAACATGTATGTATAGGGTTCAAAAGTAAAAATAAAATGTTTCATGTAAAGATGATATAAAAAAATGATAATATAATATTAACAATACAGGGGAGATTTATTGTTCCATGGTTGAATCACAATCAGGATTCATGATATAAATACATGTAGTAGCTTAATGTTTTTATGATCATGTTCTTCACACATGCCCCATTGGCTCACATGTAAATAAAATATTGCTGTATTGTTCTTCAAAAACACAACATAACCTATAACTACTACTGCCATCTATCTATCAATTTACACAATTATAGTATAGAAAGACCTTATTTATCTTACTGTATATGTCGCCATCTTTTAGCGATACTCAATGTTATTTTATTCCTGGAGCATTCTATAGTTACCTCAAAAATTATACTCGCCTAACATGCTTTAACCCATCTGTGACCACACTAAGTGCAATTCTTAAATGTAAAACCATTCAATGACATTTGAAAATGTTAACATTACCTATTGAGCAGTTCATTGATTATTTATATCATATATTTCCAGATTCCCTCATATAAACTGATCCAAGAAAAGCCTGGGCTGTTGACAATGTTGGATAGATGGGAGATGTTACCAAGGTGAATACATTAACAACATCTGCGTTACCTTGACAACAGGAACATCATAGAGATAATGGATATATTGTACAATATTATAGTTTATACCTGAATGTGCATTTTATGGATGTGAGTAATGGCAAAGATTGATTTTTAATTTGAATAGATGTATATATATATTAGGATCTATAATAGATATATTGCTGGAACTATGCCTCAGAGACATGGTCACTGTAAAATCAATACACCGTGGATCTAAATTTCAAATAGAAATAAACGAGCATTTAAACTAGAAGCAAGTGGGATATATATTAGGATTTAAATTACACAAATGTAGTTTGTTAATCAGGACTTTAACAGGATCAAATGATAACGAAGCTATTATACATGGATTAAATACTTAACTGAGATAACACCTTATAACAAATACACTTGTTAGACAGATTATACAATCTAGATTCTCAGATCAGGAACTGGGAATTCTATAGTAGATGCTCCAAATGAACTGAATCTATAATGTAAATACAGTATTGCTAATCCAGAATTGTTAATATGCCATAGAGCTGTATTCTATACACACAGCCTATTGATTCATTCTTGATTTCTTCAGATGTACTATAGATGCACTTGCTTTATCATTAAGAGAAGCATTTTATTCAAAATCTAATGGAAAACATTCACTAGCGAGCTTGCTTTAACAGTAGAAACGAGAATAGAGCAAGATGGAATTAGCCTCTGTGTGGCAATATACGGTAGAGCAGTGTAATTCATCGTAATTTACTGTAATATTATCGCAGAACACGACAGAGTGCAGAGCCTGATATATACAGGTATACGTCCTTAGCAGGGATACATTATGAAAATAGAGATGAGGATATGATCTAAACACTATTGGATATGATCTAAACACTATTGGATATGATCTAAACACTATTGGATATGATCTAAACACTATTGGATATGATCTAAACACTATTGGATATGATCTAAACACTATTGGATATGGAGATTATACCCAGACAGATAGATACTCGAGTATTGCATATTTAGCCTAAAATGATGATAACCAAGGCGATATCTCATTATGAGATTAACAACATGAAGAGAGATAAGGAAAAATCTTGATTAGTAGTATACAGTATAGCATACAAATCAAATAGGATAACCAAAACACAGGGTCCAACAATGTACCTCATACACATCGAGACAAATTGAGTCAGATCAGTGTTATTTACATAAGGCTAGGTTATACTAATATCCATTGAGGAACTTTCTCCTGGATTTTATGCACATCATCAGATATTGGATTAATTAAACAGACAATGGATTCAGTGTGCTATATGTACTGCACATAGAGTAATGCAAGCCTACTTAGAATCTAATTTACTAATGTGGCAGATACATTATTAATACAAACTCATGTGGGTTAAAACAATAATGAATTCATATTAAACATTGTGTCATCACCGTGACAACTAAATGTTTGTGATATATAAAATACCGTTGTAAAACAGAAAATACTGGATGTACACTGTATTTGTTATTCATGAGTGACATAGGTCAGTTATGACGGATAAAGTGTGACACATAAAAGAAACAAGTGATAAATAGGTGTGACATAGGAGTTAATAGATGTGACACCAAATTAGTGACAACATATCTTGAAAAGTGACGGTTGGATTTCAACGAGGCGAAAATGTTGATCAAGGAATATCGCATCTCGCTGCCTATGAGTGTAGATGAATATAGGATCGCCCAGCTGTATATGATACAGGTAAGTAAAATATTACCATAGATAAGATAACACTGGGTCAAGTCTTAAATATAAAGTTAACTAAAATGTTTGGATTTAACAAGTGCTAAAGTAACAGAGGGGAGGGGGGGGGGTAGTGTGTGATTTAAATTGTTCAGAATTCCAAAAATCTGAAATTCATTTGGGAAATACATGGCATGAATATAATGGTCAGACTGACATTTTGACATTAGTGAACTACTTCAACTATTTTATCTGTATAAAATGTAAGTAAACATTAGAGGTCAGATATCAGATATATTTGGAACAATTTTATACCCGACCAGAATCCAGATCATTATAACCTAGTACATGTAGTCCTGCCTCCAACAAGCCTGAAGTGCCCAGATGCAATAAGGCATGCAGTTCAGTTAGATACTTGACAAATCACAAATGGATTTTCTGGCTTGTGTGCAGGACTTATACATGAACAGTATACAATATACATGTATGTATACATGTATGTATTTGTATATGTTAATACATTTGTATTTAAGATCAGATATGCAGCTCTCTGTTTACTCAATTTAATAATGTCATGTTTTATTTTATCATGTATTAACAGAGTCCAGTTCAATATTCACTTACGCCTACACTCTCTGCTTGAAACACAATATGAGCAATCAGTAAAACAAGGGATCCCCATGAACATTTGAAATGCCCTGACACAAGGGACATGAACATTTGAAATGCCCTGACAGAAGGAACATGAGCATTTGAAATGCCCTGAAAGAAGGGACATGAACATTTGAAATGCCCTAACACAGGGACATGAACATTTAAAATACCCTGACACAAGAAACATGAACATTTGAAATGCCCTGAAAGAAGGGACATGAACATTTGAAATGCCCTAACACAGGGACATGAACATTTGAAATACCCTGACACAAGGAACATGAACATTTGAAATGCCCTGACACAAGAGACATGGACATTTGAAATGCCCTTACACATGGGACATGAACATTTGAAATGCCCTGACAGAAGGAACATGAGCATTTGAAATGCCCTGAAAGAAGGGACATGAATATTTGAAATGCCATAACACAGGGACATGAACATTTGAAATACCCTGACACAAGGAACATGAACATTTGAAATGCCCTGAAAGAAGGGACATGAACATTTGAAATGCCCTAACACAGGGACATGAACATTTGAAATACCCTGACACAAGGAACATGAACATTTGAAATGCCCTGACACAAGAGACATGGACATTTGAAATGCCCTTACACATGGGACATGAACATTTGAAATGCCCTGTTACAAGGAACATGAACATTTGAAATGACCTGACAGAAAGGACATGAACATTTGAAATACTTGACAGAAAGGACATGAACATTTGAAATGCCCTGACAGAAAGGACATGAACATTTGAAATACTTGACAGAAGGAACATGAACATTTGAAATGCCCTGACAGAAAGGACATGAACATTTGAAATACTTGACAGAATTGATATGAACATTTGAAATGCACTTACTCAAGGGACAAAAACATTTGAAATGCCCTGACACATGGGACATGGACATTTGAAATGCCCTTACACATGGGATATGAACATTTGAAACACCCTGACACATGGGACATGAACATTTGCAATGCCCTTACACAAGGGACATGAACATTTGAAATGCTCTGACTAAAAGAGGATTCATTACAATTAACAGACACATGAATATATTTAGGCCTCAGGGTGACCTGTACTGTCATGAAAGTTGACGTTTTTGCAAAAAGACTATCCCAGCATGCTATCTGTCATTTTATATGACTTACATCATAATTTTGGTTCATCTTTCCAATGGTAGCTTTCACTGCCAATCAACTCAGACACTGCAGTGGCAGTTTAGGAAACATTCTGATATATATTTCCAGTAAATTACCAAACAAAATTCTGGTGATATTCTATGATCTGTCTCAAAATCATTTGCCTCATTAACAAAAAACACAAAATGCATCCAATTAACAAAGATTTCCATTGCAAGGAACACATACTTGTTATAATTACTTATTTGATTTCAACAAGAGCTGAAACACTTTCATGATAAGTAAGTATTGATTCATAGATCCAGCGCACTTGGGCCCTGGCTTATTGACCAGTTCAGCTAATCACCAATAAAAGAAAAAACACATTATTTATAAAAGGCACAATGTGGTGTAATATTTCATCTGCCAGATAACCGTAATGTTCTATTATAGCCATATAATCCGAGGTAATGTCTAATAAGTCTTCCAGGTTGGAATTACTTATTGAATAAAGCTGTAAGATTATGAAACTGTCAACCCAGGCATCTTTATTCATTATCTTCAATCCCATATTTTACCCTTTGTTTACCCATTTTTTATCCTATCATATATCCCTGTTTGGCATTTATTGGCCATTTTCATTACCATCTGTTCGTATTCATTATCGCCCATCATGTTTTGAGCAATTTTTCATTATCTGGTTATTACTTTTTCATTATCATGTTTTTGTTATTATTAAAAACTTATTTTCACCTTATGTTTTGATTAATATCCAGTCAAACCCATGTTGTTTTGATTTTTGCAGCCATACCTTTTTGTGACCAGTGTTGCCATTCAGTGTCTGTAACATATTTCACTGAAGAGGTTCATTGGGTAGATTATTTAATGCATAAAGCTAGTTATTGGAGAGGTTAAGCTTTGGATATATAATCGAAACTGAACCTGTACGTATCACTCGACCATATACAAATTCATGTAGCCTTCTCATATAAATAGCCGTTCAAATCCAGTGTTTGTTTAGACTACACCATAGCGTGTAATGATTCTATAGTATGTCATTGATGCGGTTTTATAGCTGGTTTTCTAATACATATTTTAAACGAGCTCGTTTCGTAAGATTTTTGGCGCTAAATCATGCATGACATACATCATCGTGTTCAGCAAGAATTCAACTGTGCATCGAAATCAAAATTTACAGCATAGTGTTCAAAAGACACGAGTAAAATGGTTCACGTTGACCCAACGTCAAATTTCAAATCTCCCGTTCTAAACCCGAAACTCTGAAGCTGAAAGAGTATCTGAAGTAGACTAAGCGCGCATAAAACTATGAGCGCTCGATACATTCCTTTGTTAATTTTTGTACTTTGCGTTCACGGTTGCGTTGTAAAAAACATCGATAGCTTAACCTCTCAACTGTCCTTACACTACCCGAAAAGACTTACATATTTGACATTTTGGTTGCTTTCATATTGTTACACTTTATTTTTGTAACTGTTTTCAGTAACAAACTGGTAGCATTTACATGTTAATGCACTTTGTTAGTATATTTGACTTTTCATGTTCAGCATTCTTCTCCTTAATGATCTCCATGAATTGAATAAAAATACCTTTGGAAAATGTCTCACCCCATATTCTTTTTTCCATTCAGAACTGTTGCGGGGAAACAGAAACTAAAACCATGCCTCAATATATAGATAACATTAAGACAACCCTCTCATCCATTTACTTATGCAGTCTTACCTTAACCCTGAACCATTTGGTCAATGAGAATACTTCCTCCAGTCCTCTTTAGGGTCTTTAAGGTATTTGGCTAGTGGGAATACTTCCCCCAGTTCCCTTTAGGGCCTTGAAGGTATTTGGCTAATGGGAAGACACAAACTCTTTTTGGAGATTGGGAAATCAAAATGAACTCAAAGGGCAGCCCATTGGCACTGACCATAATTGAATTTTCAACATAGAGCTCCAAAGTAAATGCAATTGTGCGATGCTGTAATAATATTATGCCTTGAAGTATCAACCCCCATGACATACATCAAAGTTATTCCACTCTTCATAATGAATCCTATCTATCCTTTATGACAGTGACAGCCTCCTCCAGTTGGCAACATCAATGTCATGTATAGACACTTGAGTAGCTTATCAGTTCAAGCCATCCCTGGAAGTACTTGGCACACACTTCATAGTAGTCAATATACATGTACTGGTTCTCATACTGGTAGTGGAGCATCAGAGGTCTTGTGTCTCCTTTCGTTGTGACCCCCCCCCCCTTCCCTACATATCTTACTGAGGTAAAGTGGGGGGGGGGGTCTAGAAACATTTTTTCCCTCTGAACTGCAATATAGCAGCTAGTATGCAGACAACAACCATTTCTGCCAGGGTTTCATGATTTTACCATCTTATATTATAATCTGGTTTGGCATTCCAAAGTTAGGCATCTGAAGGTCAAAGGAATTCTTGAGTCCCTGAAAAAACAGTCTCGTTTCAAGCCCTGTCCCACCCCATCCCATCAACGAGAATAAGGAGTGCTGGGGCAGCACCTTTATGCAAGACTAGACATGGCATATAATTAACCAATTCTCATTTGCCACTTTGATTATCCCAGCTCCATACCTTGGAATTCCAATACCCAATTAAGCATATATTCCAACTCTATTGATCACATATAATCTAATTCTCCTTAATCTTCCAATATTCTCATCTGAATGCATTTTTCAGTCTAGCAATTTGTCTCTTTGAAAAAGAAAAATCCAGTGGGGCGCAATACAGTAAAATCTGCCTAATCTGAAGGTTACTAGGACAAGCTTAAAGTGTTCTTAAAGTGTTCAGATTAGCAGGTGTTCACATTTCAGGGTTTATAAATATGACAATTGAACAAAAATATTTAGGATGGACAAAAGTGTTCACATCGGGAGGTGTTCAGATTAGAGAGGTGTTTGGATATAGGTTTCACTGTAGTATGCTAGGTCCCACAATGATATTGATTTAGTGCTCAGAGAATTGCAATTGATAAATTGTTTACGCCTCTTTTCATGTCAGATTCTTGATATAGTGACTCTCTGAAATATCCAACTACTTTATTAAATGCTTTTAGGTGCAGGGTGCGTGGGTTCACTTGTAAATTAGAAGGTTATACACATTTTGAGAAGTAAAGGTGCCCAATTAAGAACTATTTGAATACATTGAAGCAAGTGGGTGTAATAATGCCTGATGACATTTTGAAAATAGGC